ACGGAATCTTTACACGTAAAATTTGCAGGTTCTGTCCGTAGGCAATTTTCTTGAAAATTTTCTGCGACTTTTTTTTTTCAATCTATATAATTCTTGCCTAAAATTGGCGCCACGAAATCCTCGTGCAGTCTACATATGAGCACAAAAGGCGAAAATACAGTGCTGAAATACGGTAGCGCGGATATGTCCTCGTAAATGTTACTAGGCCACTTGCAAAACGGAACTTGTAAAAGGTTACTATGGGCATCTGCAATAGTTATGTCTCTCCTGGTGGAAGTGAATGCACACTAATAATTAAAAAAAACAGGTCGTAACTCGTGTCATGGCGCAATGGTAAATTATCTCTAAGCATTAGGCGTTTTCAGTATTTGTGCATGCCCCAGAAAAATAAATTCCATGACGTGTTTTCTCGGATATATAGTTGACGGTCAATGCTCCACGTGAGCAGCAAGTCGCTTATTTTCGATCAAAAATAATAATTTAAATTCGAGAAATCGTGGTGTCGAACCCACGTGAAATATAAACACTCTTTATGACAACACGGTAAACATTTCACCTTCAAACTTTTCCTTTTAATTTTTTTTAAACTTAGGTGTTCAGCGAATATAATTATTATAGAAGATCAACTCCGAAGAGTGGGGGGAAATTGATGACTCGCACGCGAAGCGCGTCCGTTCCGTGACATAAAATCAGTACTGTACTCTCAAGTGATGTGGAGAGTACCAATTAAAAAAAGTTCTGACTCTGGTGAACCGGGTCGGCAACCCAGTTCTCATCAGCAATCATCAGCTCCAGTTCAAGGACACCTGTTGAAAGGTCAGCGTCTCATGGCAGCAGTGTTGGACAGCAGTCCACTGACCTCCATGAGGCATCAGCCACGAGCTCCACGCATGGATGACTTCGGATCAAGGGAAAATGGGAAGCTATGTGAGAAGAAATGCGTGCCCTTTTACTTGCTCTAGTGACCTGTGTATATCCAGCCATTGTTAATCCCTCCGTTTTGGCACTGTCACGCATGAACCGCAAATAGTCGGAAGTTTGCCGCATCAATTCTTCCTCC